GTTAAGTATGTTAGCGGAAGCAATGGTTAAGTCACTTAATGGTTTCCAAATGCAAGCTGCCACAGTGGATGGTAATAAAGTACCATTCGTCCGACTCCTTAAATTACAGAGCTTCCCCTCATCGCTAGCGTTAATCCCGCACAGTAGCAGGACCTGCACTTCTTGTTAGACGTCGCCACTTGATCCTGTCCTAGGCATCTTCAGCCGTGGCCCTGACTTCTGCCTTTGACTTCAGTGGAGTCCTTCTTTATGATCCCCTACCTCTTGGTAGCTTGCCATGCATTTCGAAACCCAGTGCTGTTCTTAATCGGATGATCCTGAGACCTCCTTAGCACGTGCCCATACCATCGCAGTCGCTGTTCCCTCACCTTCAGCTGGACAGGGGCAGTCTGCATGACCGCTCTGACATCCTCGTTCCTGACCCTGTCCAGTCGCGTCCAGCCGCAGGCCCATCTCAGCATCCTCATTTCGGCAGCTGCCTTTCGTGATTCTTGTTCAGGGGCCAGCACTCGCTGCCGTATAGCATCGCAGGCCTTACCACTGTCCGGTACACCTTCCCTTTGAGCGTTCTGGAGCACCTTCGATCGCAGAGGATTCCAGTGGACTCCCTCCATTTCATCCATGCGCGTTGATTCGAGCCTTCACCGCCTGATCCACACTACCGTCGGCTGCCAGATCGCTCCCAAGGTATCGGAAGTCCTCCACCTTTCGATGGTCTTCACCATGGCCGTCCACGATCGGCTCTGCGCCTCTTCGGAGCTCAGGAACTTGGTCTTCTTGACATTCAGCCGTAGCCCACCTTCTGCCAGGGCCTTCTGCCATTTCTGCACCTTGGCCTGTAGTTCTTCTCTGCTATCAGCTATCAGGGCGATGTCGTCAGCGTAGAGGATGGTCTTTAGTGGCCCTTCTATGAGCCCCTTCACCATGACATCTAGTGTTAGGAGGAAGAGGAACGGACTCAGAGCTGACCCTTGATGCACCCCAACCTGTGGTGTCTACCTCCTTTGTTAATCTTTAGACTACGACTCCCTTAAATAGGACTTGGGCTGACGTACGCTGGATTTGAGCTTGGATTTGATCCAGGGACCATGCACGCGGTATTTGTTACCACATCACCTCAGCTCAAATGACTTTTTAAAAAATAAATTGGCAATTTAATACCCCTTTACAAACACACATTTTTCACATTTTATTCGCGGAACAAAGCTAATGTATTATTGGGACCACACTTGAGGGAATTGTAAGCCGCACTCTGTAGAGGCTTCTGCTTCTAAGGTCTCACAGCTGCCTCTGCCATAACGAATTTGCCTCCACTTTTACTGCGTCGTTGCTGTGCTATGCCGGCATGGAAGTCTTCTGATCCCAATTGCGCACCATCCACCCTGTTAGATTCTCAGAAGTTGGAAGCTCCAACAGTGCCGTAAAAGGCCGTGTCGTTCTCCGGCTGGTTTTTGCTGATGAAATGCCCCATGTGTCATCGGCCTCTTTGCTCATGCTGCGCTGATGCAATGATTTAGGGAAGTACTAGGACCATTAGCGCAAGTGTCAAGAGTTTGGAGACTAAAAATTGATTTTGAGAGCAGGCGATGTTGACCATAAGTTAACCTGCGGTATGACTTGCTTTATTGACTTATCCAGAGTAGCTCGCTTTGACTTCCGAAGACTTACTGACAGCATAAGAATTATAAAGTGTCTATATGTGCACAATGCCGCTATCAAGTGGGCGCTCCTGTTACAATAAGTCCCAAAACTGTGGCAGCACCTTGTGCTATGGAAGTGGTACACAAGTGTAGTCATCAGTAGTCAAAGGATTAAATCATGCGGGGTGCCCCCCCCCCCTGAGGAGATGATCAGCCGCTCGTACAGCTTCCTGTTATGGGCAATGAACTTATTACGCGACAGTTGGAGCATCCCACCGCGTCCTCCCTCGAGATGAGCGACTGATAGCCACGCATCCGGCGTCCTTCCTTCCGCAAATACCATTATTCGAAGCGGTGAGCCACCTTATGCCGTACTCTCCGAGCGCCTTCCATGCCTCTATTGGCACTCCATCTGGACCAACCGCCTTTCCAACCTTCATCCTTCCCAAGTGCACACCGAACCTCATCCTCTGTCCAGAGTGCGATGGGACCAGCTGTGGCCTCTGCCCGTGAGTTGTTCTTGTGGGGAACTCCTCGTTCAGAAGACCTCTGAAGTACTCTTCCCACCTCCTCCTTGACTTCGGCTGGCTTCCTCAGGATGGCACCGTTGCTGCTCTTCACGCTCTTCACCACCCTGATGTCTTGAGTAGCCCGATGCCGGGCCTTAGCCAGTCTGAAGACGAACTTCTCTGCGTTTCGCTTTCCAACTTCTCGTACAAGGCGCCTGTTCTTCGCCTTGACGGTGACAGCCTTCGCCTCGCGGAAATGAATGCAGCGAGATCGTCCAAGCTTCACGTCTTCTTCCACTTCCTGAATGCTTCCTTTCTTCTGCTTCACGACTCGCTGGATTCCTCGTTCCAGAACCACGTCTCCTCTGAATCCACCTCGCGTCTCACCCAGTACCTCCTTGGCACATCGCAGGATGGTCTCAGCCGCGTTGCCCCAAGTCCGCTGTACTGGCCCGTTAGGATCTGGGAGACCGACTTCCATTATCCTTCGCCTGAGGTCCTTCTCCGCTTGGTGCAGCTTCCACCACCGGATTCTCCTCTTGATTCCTACCCTTGTCTTTTTGGGAGGCTCATAGCAATGTCAGAGGAAGGGGGAGGCAGTATTGCAATGGCCAATCTTTCATGGAGTACCTTGATGTCTTGACAGTTCTGTTCTGGGAAATGATCTTTTTACGAGCACATGGTCGATTTCCGTCTGTCGTCCTCCACTGCTGTAGGTGACCTTCTGAGTCTCCCTTTTCGCGAAGAACGTGCTGCAGATTGCCAGATCGTGGGCCGTAGCCAGGTCCAGGACCCTCTCTCCCTCGGCGTTCCTCACTCCTATCCCTCTACCTCCGTGCACCCTTTCCAGGCCTCTCTGTCACTGCCGACGTGGCCATTCAGATCACCTGCTATGGTGAGGTAATCATCTTCCGGAATCGATCTGATGGCATCGTCAAGGCTCAGATAGAACTCGTCCTTCTCACTTTCGGGGCATCCGGCTTGCGGTGCGTACACGGAGAGTATTGACCAGTACCCCTCCTTCGTGTCTATCCTCACAGCCATGATCCGATCGCTGATCCTGTTCACAGCGGAGACATAGTCCTTGAGCGACTCCGCTACCGCTATGGCCACGCCGTTCCGCTTGGTGTCCCTCATTTAGTGATTTGGTACCTTCCCTTAGCATCAGCTCCTTTCCATCGCGTCTTGCAAAGGCATAGGACTTGGATATTCCTGCGCGTCATCAGATCAGCAACCTCTCGGGACTTCCCAGTTAGCGATCCTACGTTCAGAGTCCCAATTCGAACTAGCTTCTTTGGCCGAGGCCGTTCACTCCTCGGTAGCCCTCGCATACTGACCACAGAACTCGGGCGGGGTTCTGCGCGCCACTTCCGGGTGACGTCCTAGCTTTATCACTGACACTTACACCACTTCCATCGTGTGTGACTGGAGGCGTTCATTAGCTGGCCCTGACGCTGTTACTGGAACCATTTTTGCAATTTTCTCCAAGGCATGGTTGAGCCTCGGCAGGGATCGAACTCGCGGCTTTCAAAGGTGCAGACATGAGTCTAACTAATAACCACTCGGCTATACCACCTGCTTCAAATTACAGAACAAATTGTGAAATTTTTTCCCTGCTCAAAAAAATTTGAGCTACTGGTTGTGAAGGGCTGTTATTTGGAAAATTAAAATGCTAAATGATTGTGGTGCTCATGTGATGCACAAACGGATATGACCAGCACCCTCAGAATTATAGGGACTGAGTGAACCATCACAGGTATGTGGGTACACCAGCTGATTAGTGAAAGAAATATGCAGTGAAAGTGAAATAGAAACATCAGCAATTAAGTGGAAAAATTTGATCCAACTACCTTTTTGAGCTCCAATTTTGCAACCACGACTTCCAACTCTTTCACTCTCTGTTGTCGCTTCATCAATTCAGAGTAACGGGCACGTCTAAGTCGATCAGCTTTCTAGAACAAACAGTGACATTCAGAATAAGTGAAGATAATAGCACGAAACATCACATTTAAAGGACCTGCATCAATAAAATATTTGAGCTGGCACAAGATTCTGTTCAATCACCATGCGATTGCAGAAAGCACAAACCTTTACGTCGTCTTTACTTTGCGCGCCGATGACATTCTTTTTTGCGAGGTCGTCCTTCCGTAAACGGTTGTATTTTCTCGAGATCACGGACTCGTCAGTACCAAAGTATTCAATAGGATCGAAAGATTTAGCTAAATGAAATAATATGACAGATAAAACAAACAGCACGCACACTTCTGCTACCCACTGATTTTGAGAGGGGTTAGTCATAAAATACAAATACTTATTAGCTGAAATATAGGTCGAATCTCACCTTCCTCATCATCGTCGACAAAGATTGTGTGCTTACTCGCTCCAAGTCCACAACTTGGATCAGCGAAGTGAAGCTCTGATTTCAACTCATCTATCTTCTGAAAAATTCTTCCTTATATCCGATTAATCAATAGCGCCATTTCATGAAATCACCTTGTTTTCCGCATAGAGTTTGTATTTCACGTATTCCAGATCTTTCACATCGTTCAACTTTTTCTGCACCTCAGAATCCTCCTCCTGTTTCTTTGTCTTCTTATCGAAATGTCGACCGTCAAGCTTAATCACAATTGGGCCACATTTTGTCAGAATTTTTTTTTGCATGTTTCAAAACTAACCAGGACCAGCATTTAGGCAATCCAAGGAAAACAGGAATGACTTATTAGACAACAGCATTAAAATATTAAGGAAAATATAAGATCCTAAACAATGTTTGCTTCACGGAAACTTCGAAGATGAGGGCGATTGTGAAACAATGCAATTCCTCCTTACTATATACTATTACTTGTAGAACTATAATAAGGGAGGGAGAATACATCCTCGTGAACAACAAACTGTGACTGATATGAGCCCTCAGGTACTGGTACATTTAACGACCCGCACTCCCAAAGTATGCATGTTTTTATGTTCTCCTCTGGGTTACATGAAATGCGCGAAATTCTCGTTCACTTCACCGGTCCGAGGGCGCCAGCCTTGTATTTTCTGAGCCCATCGCCCACACTGCAACTCGACAGAACGCCCCTTCGCAACTGCTTTATTTCCTTAACAAACTGGGCTTAGATCCGAATGGAGCCCGTAGGGAAGCAATTCTCACGATCGGTACAAGATCTGATTCTCTACATTTAGAAAACCGAATACTCTCACAAAAATAAATACACCGAGGTCCGGTCGCCCAATAGTGTTGGATGAGGAGTTCATCATGGAGCAGCAGTCAAACACCAGCACCAGAAACCTAGCGTCAGTGCTCGGCCATGCCTAGCTAACAGTCCAGGGGACATGGTACAGAGACATTCGGTAAGGCCACGAAACTTGGCCGCCGGATCATCGGTCTAACAATGCATTTCTTTCCCATTCACAAAAAAAAAACAGAATTGTTGACATAATGATCACTGTAGATGAGAACTGGTCCCTCTGCAAAAATGCTGTGGTCCAGCTTTTGTTCAACAAGAGAAAAGCCGAGTCTATCTCTGTGCTTCATTTCAAGTTAAGAATGCTCTATTTCGGTGTCCCAAAACTGTTTAGAGCAACAGAAGTGCATGTCGCAGCCCCCATGCAGTTTGGATATTGTATCTATCGAGTACTGGGTGTTTCACTGGTGTTCCTCACTCCAGCGCTGCCTAGCCGACAGAGAGTTCAAGAACGATGAAACGAAGTCAAGACTAGCAGTCGGCTGAATTGGTTGACGTGCCAAAGCCTTCCTGCTTGACCCGAGCTACAGCGCAAGAGCTGCCCGAACGACTGGCGACAAGTGGAGAGCCAGTGAAGGTGCCCACATACAATTTTCAGCTTGGCTCGTTTCTGCTTTACAAAGCTTTACAAAATGCGGGCAGATAACTTGCTTTAGCTTTTTTGATGTCAATATGACGAAAATTCTTACCTTAACCTCACTATTAATCATATGGTGATGATATTCATCCTCATTCTTGTCCAAGGCGTACTTCCTCAATTTCTTCAAAGTATCTCGCTTTTCCTTAAAATATTAAAATAGTCATCTGTTGTGTACTGGCATCACATCAATTATATACACTCCATCCATCCACCACGGAGCAGCGTAGAGATTGCTAACATTTTTAAAGGGAACCGATATGGACGTGCTGCCATAAACATGGCGTCCCTTCTTTGATGCAGAAGGCTTACTATTGGTTACACATTGCCTTAAAGCAACAATCCAGGAACGAATTCGCGGGTAAGGACCACCTATAATGACGTTGCAGGTGAGAAGTTGGTCAATGGAGAAAGAAAAAGTAGAAAAAAACGTCGGGCAGGGGCTTAGACAGGGACTCCCCCTGCCGTTTAGGGAGACGTGTGTTGGACGAGTTGTCCGAACCTGCCCGTAGTACATGCGCTCCAATTGCAACTGCTGGCAAATAGCCATGCATGCTTGCAAATACATAACTATTTGCCAGCAATCGAAATTGAAGCGCTTCAATTGCGTTCTTATGGAATCGACCTCATACAGCGCGGCGGTCCCGCAACGACCGCTAGTCGAGCAAGCGCTCTGCACAGCTGCTTGGAGGCGGCCCCACCACGGATCGGTGGATCCGAAGGATTTCGACTGCTTCCAACGCCTTTCAGAGGTAAGTTTTGAAGTTTGTGACATTTCCCATGAACTCCAATCAGGCTGAGGCATGTTTCCACCACTTGAAAACCAAATGGTTGAAACCCTGCCTGGACTGTTGCTTTAAAGGACGAATTTACGATGGAAAAGCAACCCATTCCAAATTGAGGTAGAGATGGTGAGTAGTACCAGAAAGAAAGCGAAACCACGAAAAACGGCCCAGAACCGGAGAAATGGGACCCCTTCCTTGTCCGTTGATTTGAGCATTGATGGGACTCTCATCGCTTTGCCCTCTTCAACCCTACGCTCTCTCAGCTATCTAATCACTCGCCACCTATTGTACTACGGCGAGTGATCAGACGATCGGTGGGCGGAGATCGCCGAACTCGCCAACTTTGAGCCATGCTAGATCTCAGAGGTCAAATCTTTCGATGCCGATTGCGTGTCTGTCCGCACCCTCAAGAGATTCACCGCTCTCCCCACTAGGCGATTTCTCCCTTCTTCGACCTTCGTTCTTTCCGTGCAATCCTCCTTTTAAAGGAAGTCACGATAATTCTCATGGGACGATAAGGAAAGCTGTGTACTGGAGTGGATAGGGGTCCTGCCCAATGTTAGAACACGTGAAGTTTCAGTGGCAGTGGCGCCTTATCACGGAGTGAAAAACCAAGACTTATCGATGTGGAAAGGGGTGCGATAAGAGCGTGCTAGATATGATACCGTTATCGTTATCGTCCGATTTTCATTCTGGAGTGCACTTTATTCTTAGCAGCCGCATCTTCTTATCTCATGTATCGTATCTTCCATGGGCTTACACTCGTCCAAACATATCTATCTCAGACCTTATCGGTTGATAACGCGAGGGTAGCAAATCCAGCGTGGAAGCCAGCGTGATCGCTTCCTTTAACGCCTTGAGGACAGCGCAGGCCTTGAACTCATTAAATCAATTTTTCCGCGCACACGCGATTCGTTTTTCAGTTTATTTGCATTCATTCCATGGAGGAAGCCTTAGAATAGCTACAAACATGTTCTCCCACACAGTGATCACTGCCCTAATTTAGAGGAGCATGTCTGAACCCTACGAAATCTTCAGTTTAGTTAATTTTTCGTCCCTTTTTCGCTTCAAGAACAAAAGATTCGATCAGTAGTAAAAGTAAGTACGGAACCTGTGAGGCTTCCGCGCTCACACAATCGCGCTGGTTGCACGCGGCCAAAAAAGCCAAAACGCGGCAACTCAGGTAGAGAGACGGAAGTAATGCCGCCTTTGACGGAAGGCTTACAGCAAAATATTCCTCGAAAATTCCTCTATAAGTGGGAGCAAGCCATCCCTCACTGCCCTCAGCGTTTTCGAAATGCGACTACAAAACATGTAGGGATATTTCTCTCGCGTCAAAACGGCAATGTTGCGGCCGCATCGAGTTTCGTACACGTACAGCACAGAGTATGGACGGTGCCGTAAGTCCGCCCCTATCAGTGAAAAGACCTTTCCATATCGCGGCTAAGGAAACACAGGATACCGTGGTGAGACACCTCGGAAAAAAAGGCACAGAATACGACCCATGCTGTGGTTCTTCCAGCGGGACTTTTCGCTACTGCGGACTGCTCCCTCAGGGGAGCCGCTCCCTTTAACCATAGATATATGATCTTTTTCCGACTACTATTTATCGTACCATCTGCCTTTAGCTTGGCACATGCAAAAACCAGAATTAGCAGTGAGATTTTCTTACCTGATAATCTTTTGCCCGAGCTTTATAATCGGCTTTCTTCTCTAATAAGCCCAGATGAGCGCGAACTTTTGGCTGAAATTGATACCTGTTACTCATAGACTGAATAAGAATTTTAAGAAATATATTGGAACCAAAACGCGATACTACTAAAGTAGTAATCGAAAGTGTTCGAAATCGGATGGAATTAAAAGTGAGGTTCCCCTGAGCATCCATATAAAGTTAAAAATTACTTGGGAGCGTTCTCTGTGAGGCCTCTGACTTGCCAGTTTCTTGCTGATGCTTGCAAACGTTGACATCTATAAGAGAGTACGTGATACAAACTCTATTCACAAGAAGTTGTAGAGTTAAATAGTTTAAATGGAACATGCCATGGCTTCAATCGCATTTACTCTCTATAATGTTTATACTATATCTGCAATCAATAGTGACTATCAACAATTAACAACAGCACTGTATATGCCTTATTAGGGATTTTCTAAGCGAACTAATCATTGTGGAGCAACCAGTATCGTAAATGCAAACCACTGGTTCGCAAAATCACAAAGCTAACACAAGATAGATAAACTACTACAATAATACTGCGCCGAGAATAGATCAGCTATAAGGTTTCAGTTAGAACAACGAAAATTCCTAAATTCACAAGAAACTGTTTAATAATCGAGACTTGAAAACATCGTCTTAAAATGTATAAGAATCCTATATGAGACGTGAGAAACAACGAGAAAACTGATAGCTCAGTCCTGATGAAAGTTAAGCAGTTGTATTCAAGAGGGAAACGATGTGCGTCGTTTGTTCTTTCGTTCAAAATATACTTTAAAATATTCGTATGAGCCAATCATTATCGCACATGCTGGAGCAATCTTTGCCACTCGCGGTACCACTCCTAAACAAACAGCATGAATGGTCTCCAGAACTATTTTCGAAATTATAGATTTTCCACAGAGGAAATATTATTGAATTGTAGCTTAATAAAGCTGAATCGTACAGCACCCGGTCTCGACAGGGTCAAACCGGAACATCTGAAGAATGCGCCGCCAGTTATCATCAAAACTCTGGCTCGACTCTTCACGCGCTACCTGTCGGAATGCAAGGTACCCACTCCGTGGAAAACCAGCAGGACCGTGTTGCTGTACAAGAAGGGAGACCTGGACGACATTGGCAACTATCGCCCAATCTGCCTGCTGTCTGTAATCTACAAGCTATTCACTCGAGTCATCCTTAACAGGATCGGCAGAATACTGGATGAAGGACAGCCATGCGAGCAAGCAGGGTTCGAAGAGGGTTCAGCACGATCGACCATATCCACACGGTTACAAGACTCATTGAAGTTTCACGAGAGTACAAGATGCCGCTTTGTCTCACGTTCATCGACTTGAAGAAGGCCTTCGACTCTGGCAACCAGGGCGTCCCTACTCAGTACATCAAGATTCTTCGTGAGCTCTACAGCAACTTTACGACCAGAATCTCACCATTCTACAAGGAGGTCATCATCGACGTCAAGAGAGGGGTTCGACAGGGCGACACCATCTCGCCCAAACTCTTCAGCGCCGCTCTCGAGAACGTCATGCGTCAACTGGAATGGGAAGACATGGGAGTGAAGGTCGACGGCCGGCAACTACACCACCTTCGTTTTGCTGACGACATCGTTCTTATAACGCCGAACATCGAGCAAGCGGAGCGAATGCTGGCTGATTTCGACTGCGCCTGTGGTAAGGTCGGTCTACAGCTGAACCTAACGAAGACGATGTTTATGAGAAACGGATTGGTTCCTGATGCCCCATTCACGCTCAACGGAACGAACATCACCGAATGCTCCAGCTACGTGTACCTAGGTCGGGAAATCAATATGATGAACGACCTAGCTCCAGAGCTGAGCAGGAGGAAACGAGCGGCATGGGGAGCGTACAAGAACATCGAGGGAGTAGTGAAGAAGACGAAGAACATCCGGCTCCGTGCCCACCTCTTCGATTCCGCTGTCCTTCCTGCCCTAACCTACGCCTTACGACGATGACAATAGCCCCTTTTCTTACCGCTTATGCTGGAAGAACGTATTCCAGACACATTTCGAGAGTTGCCAACGAATTGACTTGCAATGGTGAAGAAGGGAAGCGGACTTTTTGAGTGGTCGAGAATCGTCCTCGATAGATCCTCGACGCAAATATCTCCTCAACTAAGGGAATTGGAAAGAAGCTAAACAGACTATAGAAGCAAACCTCCGCTTTTCAAAACTGTCTTCTTTTTTCAAGTTCTACAAAATTAGAGAGATATTGCCTTTTAAGTGGCAAAAACTCGCATGAAAATTTCAGCGTCCTCGACGCTGACTCGACGAAATTTGAGAGACCCTATTTTCCGAGTGGAAGGCTTCCAGAGCAATTTCAACACTGGTTGGTAGGAAACCAAGCTCTATCTGACTTACCACACATTGTTGAGAAGATTATGAAATGAGGGAATGGTACCTTTTTACAGGGATGTAGATTTCTACGGTACAGAGCGGAGTTTTAGCAAATCTGGCTGACCCAGGGGTAAACCTCGCTGGAACTGCATACTTTAAAGTACATTACGCTACTCGTTTACTCTATAAAATAAAAGTTAAAGGGACGTATCAAGACCCATTTTTAGGGGGTTCGTAATGCTGCGACCACGCCCTCGACACGATTTTCACCCTGCTCGAGACCCCCTTGGGAGAGAGGGGAGGAAAGGTCGTGAAAACTTCGAAGAAGATAGTGCGACGGACGACTCCGCTCACATGTTCTCCCAGCCAGGGTCTATCTATTAGCACCTATTTTCGGCTGGTGCTGGTGTCAGAGTCCGCCATTCGTCGCAGGTTTCGCGCGAATCGCGCGACGGGTCACAGAAATCACAAGTGCCCGATCAATACTGCAAGGTGCTCTCCAATCCCGCCGCCATTTCTGCTTGATGGTGATGGCTGAATGACGACTGTTCATGATTCTATGTTTCAAATGTTCAAATGGAGCACTTGCAATTTGTGCCACCAGCGCGAATCGCGCGACACCTGCGAAACCTATGACGGATCGCGGGCTCTGACACCGCCTAATAAAAGCGCTCCAGGTGCATCTACCTTCACCTACTTCCACGCTCCCCATGACCCTCCGAGAGGGAGCGTATCAACAGCAGCTTGAGCAGCCAAAATTTCTATATTCCACAACTTCCAAAAATTCGCGGATAACCCGAACATCGCACCAGACACCCTCTTCTACAAAGTGAAATATACAACCGCTTCGCTGAGAAACTACACGACACAGTGTACTCTACTCTCGACACTTACCACCTTCCCCGTAATTTTTGAGAGCGACTCGGGCGGCAGCTCATGAAAACCACTTACCAGCGAAAAGCGCGGTCACGCCACCACCATGATTCACAATTTCTCGCACAATAACAGTAAGAGGAGTACGTCGAACAACTTTCTCGTCACCAAGTTTGATTTGAAGATGAGTCTTCATCTTAAAACGGAAACACAGTAGTATTTGTCTTGAAATCTTGCACCTTACATCAGATTAGTCTTCCATCAAATGAGCTCTATGCTAAGGATACATACCACATCGAATGGAGTGGTAAGTACTGCAGCAAACGACCCAGCCGTAGCTCCGCAGGCGAAAGACATAGTGAAAGTTGGTTCTCGCATGCTCTTCCACGCCATAGTTCGCCTTTTAAGAGTATCATATGCTGCCCAGTAAACAGCTGTAAGAACGAATAAATTTGGGACGTTTAGTGAAAGTTCCATTACCAACCATTGTTGAGAGAGTTTTAAGTTCCAGAGCAAATTTAGTGCAACTAGCCTGAGAATGGTATATCACGTAACAAAGTCGGCATCCAACCCAAATAAAAACCCGAAATACCACGAGTAGATACGGTAACGCGTAAAGCTTGTCCAATATCTAAAAATATTTTACAAAGAGACACTATGGTAGTTAACGAGCAACTCACCTCGATAGTTCAACTGTTCGCTTTGCATTTTTGTGCGAATCATTTCTAGAGGACTGACAATTGTTGCAGCAGTCGTCCTCGCTAGTGCTCCTGCGAACATCGCTGCTGTCCAGTCTGGCGGACATACCCTTTTCGGCGTCAACTTTCGACGAAAGCGCAATCTTAAATACTGGAGGACTGAAAGTACACTTCCCACAAAACGCAAGTAACGCAACAACACTTACGTGTTCTGAAAACGTGTCAGCAGCCTGTCATATAGAGAGTAATAAAACACGGTTGCAGGTACAGCCATGACCCTGGAAAACAATCACACAAAACTTTAGGTGCAAAAATAGACAAAACTCACAGTGTGGGAGATAGCCCGCTCCACAAGGAGCGCAAGCCCTCGTTCCGCGTGATTTTGACAAAAGCATCCTATAATAAGATTGTGCAAGAATACACGTACTATCGGTGCAAAATTTTAAGAAATGCTCACAAGGGTTCCAGAAAAATTGCCAGGTCGTTGATACCATGCGCATGGTAGACGTTGTTCACAAGAAGTGCAGAGGTGTTCCATGAGACCATTATAGTAGTAAAAACAATGCCCTTTAGGGAATGGATGACGTTGCTGCTGCAGTCGAATTTTAACCACATCCATAGGCGTCACTAGGTAACCGTTACTTTAATAGTGTGCTCCCTACGCTCTCTAAGAGTCGCAGATAAATACCATAGTCGCATACTCACTCAAAAGAGAGGTCACAATAGCACCCGTTGCAGATGAGACAATTTGCTGTGTAACAGAAACAGATGGACCAGGCGTACGACAGCAATCTTCTCCATCATCTGAAAACAACGTTATTACCATGGGAACTTCAACGAATGAACAATCATCATACCCTGAGCGTGAGGAATAACTTGCGAATCCTCCTCAGAAGAAAACGCAGCCACGTTCGCTTCAGTCATGGTGCTGGATTACTACAACAAATACCATCACAACGAAACAGCAAACCTTTGTAGCATGTCGGTTTCACATGAACCTACCGTGTCTCAAAACCGTAACATACCGAAGAAGCAGCAACTCCACCTCTCGATCTTGAACAGTTACACAAACAGGAGTCTTCTGCAGTCTATGGAACGAGGCAAAATTCAGGATCTATGATGTCGAGATTGTTTCATTTCTTTCAATTCAATTTCTGGGACCTCAGTGCAATTCGTTCCAAGAATAGAAGAATTGCAACGCACTGAGTCAACGTTTTGATGAAAACACATGATAAGAAAGCTGTTTCAATTGAATAATAAAGATCTATTTAACACAGAATGCCATAAATTCAACAATAACAAAACAGGAGAAACGATATGGGCTCCCTCAACTTGAAAATCTAGAGCAATCCTGTGCTCAAAGGCAGGCTCATAACAATGGCGAACAAGCAACAGGATCTTCTTCCCCCTATTTGAAAGCAAAAATTGAGAAACTTAACAATAAGCTCCGGTGATAACAGTCCCCCGAAATAGTTGCGTGAAAAGTATACATGTGACAAGTACAGAAAGGGTCAACAAAACACTGATTTGTCTTGACTATTGCGCCACATAAACAATGGTTTCTCCGAGTGGGTGAGTGGATCCATTACTCTTGATAGACACCAATTTCTTCTCATAATCAACAACAAACGTATCTGAAACGAAATGGGGCCATAATTTATGGATCACAGGTGTGGCTCGAAAGTTTTCCAATATTACCCACCATTATCCTGAAGTTGCTCGTTCATCGATAATGGATCAACATTACTAATCAATTTCCGATCACCTCCAACTGCATCTTGGTAACGCCACAATGTGATTGTGAACCGAGCTGAAAGTAGTTCAATTATGATTGAAGCAAACACCACGCAGAGAATATGGGTTCGGAATGCACGAGAAAACTATGTTCATATCGGTGTCAATGATCAGATATCCTAAAAGTTGACAATCGCTTTGCTTAACACATTGCAGCCCGCGTGCATTGCCGGGTATGCACGCGAAACTCCCACATCTGACATTTGTGCATCGCCGGGTATGCACATCTGTATTTTGCTCCCCCATGAACCTTTTCCAATACTTCTTTGACTAATTGACTTCCGTTAGTCTCATGAATCCGTAGAACGTGTGGCATGTCGACAACTTCAATTTCAACACAAACAATCAGATTCTAATACGCCTACCTACTGAACAAGTTATCATCAATTACGAAATTTGCATGCAGTTTGTGCTCCAAACTTCGAGTTCCTTTGACAACCAAAAACA